GACCACCGGCACCGCTGTCTCGTCGTCCTCCGGTGCGCGGAGATGCGGCTGGCCTTGGCCCTTTGCCGCAATACACACGCGACACCAGCTGCGATAAGTCGCGTGTCCCATCGCCTCGTGTTCGGCGATCTCCCTCTGAGAGGGCTCATGAGGTGCCTTCAGCACTCTCGGGCGAGCCTCCTCCTCGCCCTCGTCGGCCTGCTGTCCGTCAGGAGCAGCTGGCAAAGCGTCGGCCGCAGCAGCTGCCGCTGGCTGAAAACCCGGCGGTCTCACGTCGGAAGGTCCCGACCCCGCCGCTGCCGCCCCCGCAGCCGATGCCGCCGGGGGCCGTGGTATTAAGTCCTCCAGTGGGCTTACGCCGAGGGCTGCCTCCTGGGGACTGTCTTCTCGAGGATCTCCAGCAGCTCCTCCTTCGACTTGCCGCTGAGGAGCTCCACCAGCTCGGACTTCGACTTCGCCGAAAGTCCCTCCTCGAGAGGAGCAACCGAGCCATGTTGGCCCTTCTTGAGGTAGAAGTTGTAGACGCCCTGCTCGCGATAGACCGGCAGCATCTGGTGCTTCGCCGCCTTCGCCTCCTTCTCGAGCATGCCTACCACGCGCTTGCCGATTGGGCTCTTCTCGTGGAATATCCAGCCGCCATTGCGGCCCAGGAATGAACACTGTCCAGCTCCTGCTGCCTGCCCCACCGAGATCAACGGCTTGTGCACGTTCGTCACGCGTCCCTTGAGCGCTCGTAGCACTCCGTACTCGTCCTCCGCCTTGAGCTGCAAGCTGCCCTCGTCCGGGACGAGCTCACCACTGGCCGTGCGATACGTGCTGCCGTTGCCCTTCGTTCCCGTCGGCGGCGCGAAGCTCCGAGGGAATGCTGAGATAGCTGCGCCGCTGTCCCAGTTGAACTTCATCCAGTCATCCTGCGCGAAGGGAGAGAGATCGACCGCCGCTACGCCGCGGCCGCTGCCGCTGGCGAGCTCCAGGCAGTCCAGGCTGCCCATGTCCAGAGCGGCGACCTCCGCCTCAGGCTCCTCCTCCAGGCTGCCTGCAGCCTTGCCGCCGGCCTTGCCGCCGCGGCTACCGGCTTTACCACCAGCGCTTGCCCCCGTTGCGGATCCAGTTCCAGCCCTCGAACTCGATCCCTGCTCTTTCTTCCAGCAGTCGGATGCCTTGTGGCCCCATCTCTCGCAGTTCCGACAGTAGCCGTCGAAGCGCCCGCTGGTGTATCGAGGTGCCGTGTGCCCTGAACTACGGCCCGAACCCGTCGGGGATGTGCGGGAGCCTGAGTATGATCCGTTCGTCGATTTGCTCTTCCCCTTCGGCTCCTGAGTATTGCCTTTCCCTTTGCTCTTGCCGTCCTTGCCTTTGCCTTTGCCTTTGCCCTTCGGGGCTCCGAATGACCCGACGTCCATGTCGTCCGGATGATGCGCCCGCACACGGATCGATGGCTCCTTGATCTTCACGCCGGTCCGAGCCTCCACGATCGTCATCACCTCGTTCAGACTGTCCTGGAACGTTTCGAGCCGATGCTTGTTGAGGACGAGGTGGTTCTCGATGTCCTGAGGCACGAGCATCTCGAGAGCCGCCATCTTGATATCCTCCGGCAGCTCGGCTAGACCATCTTCTCCTTGGCGGCGTTCGTACCTGCCTATCTGCTGGATCCACTTCTCTAAGGCGGACCCCAGCTCGTCCGCGCTGCACTTCGGAGGCGAGATGATCGACCTCAGGATCAGCCTCTTCCTCGGACCTGTCGTCGGATCCCACCTGCGGTGGAGCTTCCGCCAGGCTTCGAGACCGTTCCCATCGGGAGCGCCCGTCACGAGGTCGTTGCTCTCGCTCCCGTCCGCCGTCGTGCTGATCAGCGCCGCGTACAGCTGGTTGACCTTTGTCTCCAGCTCTGGTACTCCGTCGTGCGCCGCCTGAGCCCCTGCGATCGTCACGGGGCGTTCGGCTTCTGCCGCCCACCGAAGAACGGGACGAAAGCTCTCTCCGTACACGCCGATCACGTAGTTCTCCATCTTGCGATTCCAAGCGCCGAACTTCTCTTGATCGTCGCCCATCGTCGTGGGCTTGCCGATCCCCTTCGTGTCGACGAGACCGTGAGCGGCTGGGCCCATACTCGACGCGCCCCGGATCTGCTCGCCCATCCGCTCGATCGCCTGCGGGATTGCCGCGAGGCCTCCTGCCACCTGCTGCTGAAGACGCTGATTCTCGTTCTCCAGCCTCCTCATCTCGTCGGCGGCCTGGCCTATTTGAGCCGCGAACTCCTGCCTCAGCAGTTCGAACTGCTGCCGAACCTGCTCGTCCATGCTTGACAGCGTGTCTCTCGGCGAGCTCCTCCCGGCTCTCTGCTATCTCCTGCCTCGTGCGCTCAAGGTCCGTGATCCTGCCTAGGACCTCCTTCTGCGCCTCCTCAATGGCGTCCGATGAGTTCTCCGAGGGATGGTCCTCGATATGTGCGAGGTCTCGGAGCTGGTTGCCAGTCTCCCTCAAGTCGTGCTTGAACTGGAGGGCCTTGCGCCTGGTCTCGATCGCCGCCTCACTCCGCTTGCCGCGCCTGCAGCCGCCTTTCCCGGCCCCTGCCGGTCGCTCGGACGCTGCCGAGCTTGCCGCGGTCGATGCCGCCCTCTTCCAGCCTCGAGCCTCCTGCTGGCTCGCCGTGGCGCCCGCGGCCGCGGCGCGCCAAGGCCTGGGTGGGGTCGGCAGCAGTGAGTGGCCAGCTCACGCTACCATGATGAGATAATATGCCGATGTACTGCAATATCTCTTTTCATCTTGAGCCAAAATAGGCGCACAGAGGAGGGTGTCAGAATCACCCCCACTTCCCATATTTTCCCATATTCTCTGGGGAATCGACGATTCATTGTGCCCATGTGCTTTTGTCCCTCCTGACGACTGTCGATGCCCCGGCGTGGCGCCACCTCCCCCAAAGGAGGAACAGCAGCATCAGCAGCAGCAGCAGCTGCAGGAGGAGGAGGAGGAAAAGGATGAGGAGAGGGCGGAGGAGGAGGACGACGACGAGGAGGACGACGACGAGGAGGACGAGGAGGACAACGAGGACGAGGACGAGGACGAGGACGAGGACGAGGACGAAGAGGAGGAGGAGGAGGAGGAGGAGGAGGAGGAGGAGGAGGAGGAGGAGGAGGAGGAGGAGGGAGGAGGAGGAGGCAGCAGCAGGAGGAGCCCGTGGGAGGCGGGCGGGGCACGCCTGGTGTCCAGCGCGGCGTCCGCCGGGGCCCCCCCGGGGGGGGGGGGCTACACCGGAGCGTGTCGGCGGGTCCAGGCCGCGGAAGGCCTGGTCGTCGTCGCCTGCTTGCTCCTCCTCCTCCTCCTCCTCCGCCTCCTCCTCCTCCTCCTCCTCCTCCGCCTCCTCCTCCTCCTCCCTCCTCCTCCTCCTCCTCCTCTTCCTCCTCCTCCTCCTCCTCCTCCTCCTCCTCCTCCTCCTCCTCCTCCTCCTCCTCCTCTCCTCCCCCTCGTCCTCCTCCTCGCTCTCCTCCTCATCCTCCTCCGCCTCCTCGCTCCTTCTCATCCCCCTCCGCTTTGCTATTCGCTCCTCCTCCTCCTCCCTCCTCCTCCTCCTCCTTGCTCCTCCTCCTCCTCCTCCTCCTCCTCCTCCTTGCTCCTCCTCCTCCTCCTCGCGCCGCGCTCCTCCTCGCTGGACAGGGTGCCTGAGAAGAGGCAGGAGTACAAGCAGGAGGAGATTGAGGAGGAGGAGGACGAGGAGGGAGAGGGAGAGGGAGAGGAGGAGGAGGAGGAGGAGGAGGAGGAGGAGGACGAGGAGGAGGAGGAGGAGGAGGAGGAGCAACAACACCAGAAAAAAAAGAGGATAGAGAAGGGTTGGAACAATATGGGGAGGAGGGGGAGGAGAAGGCAAGAGGGAGAACAGCAGCGCAGTAGGGCGAAGAGGATGATGAGGATAAGCAGACGAGAAAGACGGACAAGGTGGATGAGGATGGAGAGGAGGAAGAGGAGGAGGAGGAGGAGGAGGAGGAGGAGGAGGAGGAGGAGGAGAGGAGGAGGAGGAGGAGGCGGCGGTGGATGAGGACGAGATGCAGGAGATATGGAATGATGGTGCGGATGAGCAGGAGAGACAAAACCCGAAAACGCATCAACAATGCTGCATCACACTCTACCATTCCAAGACCCCTCTCACAGGCCTCGAAGACAATGCATTATCATTGTTGCAAGTGCCCCATTGGAAGGCAACCGTTTGAGTTTCCAAATCGCTCGATACTCCCAGTCCTGGGACTTCAGCCCCACGAATAATTCTGACTGTTGCGTCTTGGCGACTCTACATCGGTCTAGCAGTCTATTCCTGCAACTTGCTCCCCGCGACTCCCCGTGACGAGAACGTATGGTCAACGCGAAATCACGTCAGAACTTGATGATCGGAGTTCAGCCAACGACCCCATACGATTGCTGGAACTGCTTACTGTCAGCCAAGGCGCGCGGCTCTACAGCGAGGGCTCAGTGTGACAAAGGAACCGCCCGCCCTCTGCACGTGGTTGGAAACATTGAATTCGAGCGTGCGCGGCGACAGGGCGAGCACACCATGGTCAAAACCACACGCTCTCCAGCCGCATCACTGTTGGAAATGGTCTTCGACGAATGTGCGTCGCGCCAGGGCGACAAAATCACGTTCAAGAACAGATGTGCTGCATCCGTGAAGCCGCCCAGATTCATGCGCACACGAGGCGAGGAAGTCTCAGGCGAAATGCACGGCGCGCCCTACCAACCAGCCTGGGGGCGCGACAGGTTGGAGCTACCTACAAGGAGCAGACATGGACGGGGGCCATGCGTAGCAGCAGCAACTGCACGGAGGGGGGATGGGGATGAGGAGAAGCAGACTGGAGGATAGGAAGGGGCTGGAGCGGGAGAGGGCAGGGACGCAGGATGAGGCTGCCATCTCCATCTGAAATGGGGAAGGGGCGAGAGGAGACCCAGTAATTCCAACCTGACGGCGGCAGTCCTTCGGCGGGGTGCCTCCAGCGTCGGCGATGTGGCGAGGCCTCTTTGGATACACGACGCACCAGCCGCCCTCGCCGAGAGGATCCCCCTGTATCCGGTACCTGGACATGACCAGGTATCCGTCCTTGGGAGGCCGCAAGCGCGAACAGCGACCACGAATGGTGTCGAGGACCCGCGCAGCGCCGAGACGCTACTACAGTACAAATATACCGATGGCAATTCTGTAGGACATGTGCATAGGATGGTGCTGGACATCCCGGCGATTTGAGAGCCGCGACCGGCCTGATTCGAGCCCTCAGGGAAGTGCGTGAGCCTCTTCCTCTCTCCTCCTCCTCCTCCTCCTCCTCCTCCTCCTCCTCCTCCTCCTCCTCCTCCTCCTCCTCCTCCTCCTCCGCCTCCGCCTCCGCCTCCGCCTCCGCCTCCGCCTCCACCTCCGCCTCCGCCTCCTCCTCCGCCTCCTCCTCCTCCTCCTCCGCCGGAAAGCTGCGTCTCTGCCTCCCCTCCTCCGAAGACTCCCACCTTTCCTTGCCTCATCCGAGAGCCTTTGGAGCCCTGCCTGCAAACCTGCACACGCCTCTCCGAACACCGAAAGACCACCAAACTCGGGGCTCCCGCACTCGGGTCCTCCAAGGTCACCCCTCCGCCAACGGCACGTCTGGCCAGCGGCACTTTCTGATGAGGGCCTTTCACAAATGACCGACGAGCGGTCGAGGGTCGAGGATCGAGAGCGGAGGATCGAGGGAGGACGTTTTGCGCGATGTGGGGGGTTCTGGGGGCCTTCTCGTGACCACAGCTGGACCCTTCCTGAAATTTTTGTAGGCAGCCTCATGCTAGCCCTGCACCTGCAGGCGCGATGTGGGACAAACTGGCTGGGGCTCAGAACTCGGAGGATGCCCGCAGCCACAGGGGAACCCCGGCAAGGGCGTCCGATACCCCAGCGTCGACTGGACCCGCAGGGGCCGGGTTCGCCAGTGCAGCCATCGTGTTACCACACAAGAGACGCTGAATCGGAAAGGAGTGGGGCTTCTCCCGCCGCGCCGATCCTCGGCGAAGCTCCAGGGGACCCCTGCGCACCTCGCGCGCTGCGACGCTGCCGCCCCGCGCGATGGCCCGCGCGGACCGCCAGCGCGGCGCAGCGCGTGACAACGACCTCGCGCGGGCAGCTTGCGCTCGAAGGTCGGCGCAGTGGACGCCGCGCCTCCACGCGGAGGCCTCCGGCGACCTTCGTGGACTCCTGGAGGCCTCCCGAGACCTCGAGGGTCCTCCAACGACCTCAAGATCGGCGGCGAGCGAGGGGGGGGAGTGAGAGGGAGGAGGCCTTCGCAGAGGGCGGTGGGGCTTCTCGGATTGCCTTCCAGCCTTCTGAGAAGCTGCCTGCGTCGCCGGGAAAAGCCCATGGACCCTCTCAGAAGGCCAGCGGGCTTCCGAGCCTTCTGAGCAGGCCCGTCCCTTCTGACTTCCCCCCCAGCGCGCCGCCGACAAGAGGCAAGAACGCCCAAGCGGGGCCCGAGCAGGTGGGGTCAGGAGCATCGCGCCGGACCCCCGACGACTCATCGCCGATGCACCGACGACGTCGAGGATGAAGAAAGGATCGCACCGCACCGCTGGTGCCTCGGCGACGCGGCGCGACGTCTGTCGACCCTGGCTCGAAACGGCTCCAAAACCTAAGGCCAGTATGACGACCCCAATCCCAGACTTTATGGGGTTTCGATCGGGCGCAAGATCTGGGGCACAACTCGTGGACTCGATACGGGGTGCTTCCGAATAGCGACCTGGAGGTGTATCCCAGAGGTCCCCTTCTTCTGAGCGGCCTAACCTTTCGGTTGAGCAGGGTTGGGCGGAGGCGCGCGTGCGAGCGTGCCCGCTGCAGCCGCGGCCGGAGCTTCGTGCGCGTGAAGGGTTTGTGCCGCACTGGGCGCAGGCCTGCACGCGAACGCGCCTACCGAGGCCATCGTGGGAGCTCCGTGCAGGGCACGATCCAAGCAAGGGATGCGCTGCAGTGGGAGGGGGACACCATGCCGACTCCCCCTCTGGGGTCGCAGGCGGAACTCCACGCAGGGCACAATCCGTGCGAAGGGTGCGCCGCAATGGGCGCGAAACACCATGCCGGCCCACCCTCTGCGGCCGATGGTGGAACTTCCTGTAAGCTGCGATCCAGGTGAGGCGTGTGACGACGTTGGGAGGGGGAGCGCCGTGCGAGCTCTCCCTCTAGGGCAACAGGGGGGCGGAACTTGTGTGGGGCACGATCCGTGTGAGGCGTATCGGAGCTGGGATCTTCTGGCAGAGGAGGGCTGGGAAACAACAGGGGGAGGGGGACGAGGAGGAGAGGGGGAACTCGGAATTCGGGACTGCTCATTCTGGTCGCAAGGCGATCGAAGCGAGAACACACAACCCGCAATAGAGCCAGTGGATACCCCGACGTGGAGGGGAGGAGAAGGAGCAGGCGTGCGCCTGGCGCTGCGGAGAGAGAGGGAGAGAGAGAGAGAGCGAGAGAGGCCGCGAGGAGCCAGCAACGCTGGGCATCGTTTACACGATCCCTATCCCCACTGGCGCGGCCGTGGCTCCACTGGCCGACTTACCCCCCCCCCCTCCCACAGGTGAGGACATCCCCCAAAGGGGGGGCTGGGACGGTTGGACCGAGGTGCCCTGGCCGAGCAGAGACGGGGATCGGCCGAGCAAGATCCGCCCCTTCGCGCGATTCAAGAGCGCTGAGGAATCGACTCGTGAATAAAAAAAAGGGAGCCGCAGGCGAGAGCGCGATGCCTGCATAAAGTGCCTGGAAGTCTCAAGCGATATCGCGAAGATTCAATGAACTTGTCATGGATTATCAGGCGGGAGCCATTGTTATTGTAGTTCGGAAGCCCTGGGCACAGTCTGAGGCTCAAAACTTCCCTATATAAAAAGCAAGGTGCGGGCCACGGGAGGGGCACTTCAATTGAAAAGTATCCATGCTACCGAAGGGAGATCAACAATGACTGTTCTGAATTATTCTCCAGAGATGAGAAACTACAGACGTTTTAGAAGAATTCGTTCAACACGTATACCCTCCTGGGGGCATATCTGCCTTGCCTGCCGCGTGCAATGGTGCAGCCCCTAAACACTGGACGAGAGGACGGATGCAAGGTGGAGGGAGAAGGATGGAGCACGGAATTAGCAGGAGGTGGGCTAGGAACAGAAATCACGTGCCAGAACCAGACGGGCTTATCGGGCGGGTAGACCCTAATGGCAGGTCGGGAAGGCGGGCCCAAGCGGCCAGGTCGAGCAGGCGGCTTGCTGAAGCGTGAGTACTGCATGAATCGCGAGGAAGACCAGAGCGAGAGCGCGATTCCTGAGCGTCGGGGGCGCGGCATCTCAAGAAATTGTAAGGAAAACCAGCGCGAGAGCGCGATTGCTGTATACCTTGTGAGGAAGTCCCGCGCGAGAGCGCGATTTCGACCACATTGTGAAGAGATGACAAGCGGGAGCCGTTGTTGTCGTAGTTCGGGGGCCAGGGGGGGGGGTGGGGCAATATGAGCCTGAAGACTTTCCCTCGTCAGAGAACTACGTGCGAGGGCCAGGAAGGCCACTTCAATAGAAAAACACAATGGGCACCGGAGAGGGGGGGAGGCAACAAGAAGTGTTTCTTTGAAATAGCAGCAACAATCATCATTTTAAGACTGTTCGCACTTATATGCTCGCGTGTCGCTCAACATGCACTTCACTACCCACCTTCTTCGTCTTTGATCGCACCACCCTTGAGAGTATATCTGCCTCACCTGCCACGAGCAGATGGTACAGCCCCTAACACAGGGGAGGGGAGGGAGAGGGGAAGGAGCACGGGAGAGGGAGAAGGATGAAGCACGAAAGAGACTAGCAGAAGGTGTGGTTTCGGGGATGGACAGACCCCCCTTTAGTAAAACGTGGTTTAGTGAAAACGACCCGAGGCCCAAACCTGGCGGGCGCGAGCCTGGAAAATAGCGGCCACGGCGCCCTCTCGAGAACGGAAAACGGACAATTCACTAATCGACGTGTCACTGCTGGGGGTTCTGTCCACCCCCGATGGTTAGGAGCAAGAAACAAGCTGCAGAGCCACATGGGCGGATCGGGGGGGGCGGACCCCGACGGGCGGATCGGGCGGGTGGGCCCTGACGACGTCGCTGAAGCGTCAGTCCATCATGAATCGCGGGGAGGTCTCGAGCGATACCACGATTCTCAAGTTGATCGTGAGGGTGTCCAGGGCGTGAGCGTGATTCCTGAGTGTCGAGGGCACGGCGTCTCAAGAAGTGAGAGAGCGTGATCCACCGCCGCTTTACTGTGGAAAATTGCCAACCTTTTCCTCCGGAACCCGGGGGTCGCCCCCCCCCCCCCTCCGAAAATCCCCCCCCCCCTGCTGGAACCCCTCCCCCCCACCCCCCCCCCCCCCCCCCTCCCCCGGCAAACCCCCCCCCCTCCCCTAACCCCTCCCCCCCCCCCCCCCCCCCTCCCGCTCGAAAACCGGGGGGGGTCACTACCGGTTTCGAACCCCTCCCCCCCCCCCCACCCCCGGATCCGGAAACCGGGGGGGTCACTACCGGTTCGAACCCCTCCCACCCCCCCGGATCCCGCTTCCGGATCCGGAAAACCGGGGGTCACTACCGGGTTCGAACCCCCCCCCCCCCCCCCCCCCCCCCCCCCTACTCAGAAACGACTCCCGGTCCCCACCACCGTCCGCATCACATCCCCCACTGGTGTTCCCAGCACCACTGTCCTCACCACCGCTGTCCCCACTGGTTCCACCACCGCCCCTACTGTCCCCACCAGTGGCCCCACCACTGTCGCACTGTCCCCGCTGTCCCCAGAACTGTTCCCACCACGGTTCCACTCTCCCCACTGTCTCCACGGCCCCAACCACTGCCCGACTATCCCCACTGTCCCCACTGTCCCACTGACTCCTCCGCTGTCCCACTGAGCTGTCCCACTGTTCCCACCACTGTCCCCACTTTCCCCACCACTGTCCCCACTGTACCTCTGTCCCATTGTCCCACCGCCGTCCTCGCCACCGCCTTCACTGTCACTTGTACCCTCCACCCCACTGTTTCCACCTCATGTACACCTCCACTGTCCCACTTGTTGTCCACCTCATGTCCCACTGTGTCCCCACACTGTCACCCACCACTGTCCCCACCACCACCGTCACCACCACTGTCCACTGTCCCCCCCTGTTCCCACCATTGTCCCCACCACTGTCCCCACCACTACCGTCCCCACCACTGTCCCACTGTCCCACTGTCCCCACCACTGTCCCGCTATCCCCTCACCACTGTCCCACCAACACCGTCCCCACCTCTGTCCGCACCCCCGGGTTTTCGAGAGGGGGGGGGGGGTTCGAACCGGTAGTGACCCCCCCCCTTTTCATGATGAGCAGGGGGGGGGGGGGGGGGGGGGTTCGAACCGGTAGTGACCCCCCCCGGTTTTCCGGAGGGGGGGGGGGGGGGGGAGGGGTTCGAACCGGTAGTGACCCCCCCCGGTTTTCCGCCAGCAGCGGTAGAACACGCTCTTTCCAAGAAGTTGTGACGAGATCCCGCGTGGCAAGGCGATCTTGAACAAGTTGTGAAACAGTGTCAGGAGGGAGCCGATGTTGTTGTAAACCAGGGGCCGGGGGCACAGTCTGAGGAGCAGGACTTTCCTCTGTACAACAACAGCAACAACAATCATTTCAAGACTGATCACTCTTATCTGCTCGATACCTGCCCTCTTCGTCTTCGATCGTACCCCCCTTGGGGTACGTCTCCCATAATTGCCACATGTAGATGGCGCAGCCCCTAACACAGAGGAGCGGACATGGGGGAGGGATAATAATGATGTGCGAGAGAGATTAGCAGGCGAAGGGTTAGGAGCAGGAAGACAAGCTGCGGAACCAAACGAGGGGCTCGGGCGGGCGGATCCCGAAGAGCGGGTCGGGCGGGCGGACACAAACGGCCGGGTCGGGCGGTCGGGCTGCTGAAGCGTCAGTCCTGCATGGATAAGTAGCGAAGAAATCTCGAGCGAGAGAGCGATTCACAAGTAAACCGTTAGAAAGCCCAGAGCGAGAACGTTATTCCTGAGTGTCGGGGGCGCGGAGTCTCAATTCATACATTGCAAGGGGGTTCCACGCGAGAGAACGAGTCTTGCATACATTGTGAGGAAATCCCGCGCGAGAGCGCGATGTTAAACTGGGGGCCAACAACCCGTTCTGAGGCGCAATGCATTTCCATGGAAACCAGGAGATCCCCAGGACGTCCAAATCAATTGAAAGAACACACTGGGCACCAGGGGGGGATACATCAGCATCTCTTCCTTGGAACTGAAAGATCAACAACAAACAACAACAGCAACCAACAAACAACATCTGAGCCACGTAATCCGACGTCACCCACGCACCCACGGAGGGTGTACGTTCGGAAATTGTTGCATATAGATTGTCCCCCACGCGGCCCGGCGGAGCGACACGGCATGCCTTGCGAGTGGATGGCGTGTCGCTCCGCTCCGCGGGACCGGAAGCCCAGCGAAGCTCGGCACGTGGACGCCTCGGGACCGCGAAGTGGGCAGCGTGCCGCGCCGCGGCGCGGTGGGCCAGAACTGGCGGAGCGACACGATCTGCAAAAGCTCCCAACTCGATGGCTCCATGATGTGGTCCTGAGAGCTGGGGTCCTAAGGACGAGGTGCCTCGAACATGTAAATTCACCCTTGGATCCCTTCTTGTCCTTAGAACCCCATGCCTCAGGACCCCATTTTTGGGCAAGGACCGACCGTCCCGGCATTCCTATAGGCCTACCACGAAATGTTCTACAATGTTCTAAAAACAAAAACAATGTTCTTAGAGCATACACCCGACGTATAAAAACAAGACAGTCCCGGCCAGCAATGTTCTAAGCACATTCCGTGGAAACCACCAAAGCTTCTTAGAACATGTGTTGGTGGGCCTATAAGCAAGCCGGGACGCTTCGCCACTGCATAACATATTTGAACCACCGGCCGACCGTCAGACCGCTCGGCCCCCCCCACCTCGATGCGTGCGTGCGGCTCCCACGACACTCCCCGGCGGGCGCCAGCGGGAGCCCCCCAAAAGGGGGCGGAGAGCCAGCGGCGCGAGCGGCGAGGCGGGCGCGCGGCCCCGCGGGCACGCCTGCAGCGAGGACGCGGAGCAGCTTCCCGTCACGTCGTCCTCGGGACCAGCCCTTCCTGTACTTACTCCTCCACCTCCTCCACCTCCTCCTCCTCCTCCTCCACCTCCTTCACCTCCTCCTCCTCTCCTCCTCCTCCTCCACCTCCTCCTCCTCCTCCTCCTCCTCCTCCTCCTCCTCCTCCTCCAGCCTCCGCCTCAACTTGCTCCTCCTCGCCGCCCCCCCATCCCCCCACACAAGCACCCACGTCCGCAGCATCCACATCCAAATCTACACCTGCGCGATCCTTCCTAATCGTCCTCCGTCGTCCTGTCCATCCGAATGCCCCGTTCCTTCTTCTTCCTCCTCCTCCTCCTCCTCCTCTTCCTCATCCTCCTCCTATTCCTTCTGCTCCTCCTCCTCCTCCTCCTTCTCCTCCTCCTGCTCCTCCTCCTCCTCCTCCTCCTCCTCCTCCTCCTCCTCCTCCTCCCCCTCCTCCCCCTCCACCTCCCTGATCCCCCCCCTGCCTCGTCCTCCCCTCTACTCCGTTTCCCTCTTCACTATCTACCCACTCCTCCCTCCTCCCCCGCCATCGTCTTGAGACTCCACTCTGTCTACTCCACTCCACTCCTCCACCTCTTTACCCAGCCGTACTCCCACTCCTCCCTCTTCCCCGCTTCCTCCCTTCTCATCCCCAGGTTCCCTCCAACTCATCCCTCCGCTTCACCTGTCCCTTCCGCTCCCCGTCTACCCCCCTATCCATCCTACCGTTTCTCCTCATGTTTCGCTCCATTGGGCTCACCCTACCCGTATTCCATTCTTCCCCTCCTTTGTCCCAATCCTTCCTCATTCTCCCTCTTCCCCGTTCCTCCCTGATCATCCTCCTTAGAATGTCATCCTCCTTTACCCCTCCTACTGGTCATCTCCCTCCCGGTCCTTCGCTCTCCTCGCTCCTCCTCCCTCCTCCTCCTCCTCCTCCTCCTCCTCCTCCTCCCTTCCTCCAGCCCCCACTGTCGAGCCCATACGGTCAGGGTATTGGATAAGGAACCGTTGGTCAAGGAATCCAGTGTCTGGAAGCCCATGGAATAGCGATTGAGGCTTGGCCATGGATATCACGGCCGCCCTCATCAGATAAGGAATCCTCCAGGGCCTGAAGCCTCGTGGGAACATTCTTTACTGAACGCCCCCGCCGTACCGGCGATGAACGGGAGATTCGGGGCCGATTCGGTCGGGAACTGTTGCTTAGCGTGTTGCCGTGGCGGCCCTGGCGACACGCTATGCGCTGCGAGCGGACAGCGTGTCGCAAAGCTCTGCAGGGAGGGAGGCTCGGAAACGCTAGGGGCGTTGTCGCCAGGGTTTCGTCGTGACGTGGATAGCGTGTCGCTCCGAAGCGTGGTGGGCCAGAACCGGCGGAGCGACACGCTATGCAAAAGTTGCCGACTACAGGCCTGGGACAAAAGTAGCGAACACTCATGCCACATCCAGCGGTCAACGCCTCCCCCCCAGGTTCAATGTTCAAAGCTGGCAGTGGGTCTGATGAATTGCACTTCGACTGCAGTCTCGCCCGCGCGCGCCAACTTTGAATCCGGAGGGAGAGGTGACCGTTTTATGATTCGGCGTTTCGTCGACATTGGGCGCAACGGGGTGGGAGGGGGAGGGTCTGGCTCCGGACCTCTGCTTGATGCCACTGTTTGCAGCCCCGCGTCCTAGGGGGGACAGCCTTCACCTGCTCAAAACAGGCGCCCAAAAACAGCCAAGATCTACTCCAGGGTTGTGAGGGCGAGCGCCTCAGAGAGGAGGGGTTCGTATGGAAATCGTCGAATTATGAAAAAATTATGAAATAATTATGAAAAAATTATGAAAACGCTGAAACATGGAATTGTACAAAAATTGTCGACGCCATTTCTGAAATTGCGAGAGCCGAGATTGCTCTGTCCGCAAGACCGCCGCATGAATGCGAGGAGGTAAGACCTCCTTTGGGATGATCCGCTAAAACATCGTTCGCCGATGATGGTCACCCGCGGAAGCGCGTTGGCGTTTCGTAGGTTCGTTTTACACAAATGAACGAAATGCTTGGACGGGTTGAACAGGGGCTGGGCGATTTCGACGCGAGGTCGCAGCGCCCATCATGGAGGGAAGCGCTTAACGTTGCATTATTAGTGTATGACGCGTATTGAACCATCAGCGTTTCGCGTTTGATGCCAGAGGTCGCGCTTGAGATCGGCCAACATCGGATATTTAGACGCTACGTAACGTTAGCTTGTCATTATAAATGACTAGCGGGTTCGCGTTGCGCGGGGCCGACGCTCCGCGTAATGGGCGCGCGCCGCGGCACAGCAAGTTGGGCGTCGTTTGATCAGGGTGGGTGGGGTTTCTGAGTAGAGGAAAGCATCCTTTGCAGTGGGGTGTGTGTCGGGGGGGCGGGGTGGATGGGGCGCGAGTAGTGCGCGTTGGTTGTGCGGGGTGGCGCGCGTCTTTGGGTGGCGGGGGGATCGTTGTGGCGGCCGTGGGGGTGCTCGCGTGGTTGTGGTGTGTGGTATAGGCGTTGTTATGCATGGCGGTTGCGTGCATGCGCGCGTTTGCGCGTGCGTGCGCGCGTGGGGTCGCGCGTGCGTGTAAGCGTCAGGGGGCGTATGTCTGTCGGTGGGAAGTCTGCGGGAAGGACAAGGTGGTCGGGCTGGGCGGGCGCGCGGCAGGGTCAGTTTATTGTGGTCGCGGTGGGCGCGGGGTGGAAGAGGATGGGCCGTGACCATTATGCGGCGCGCCTGTCTCCTCAACACGTAACAAAATGCGCGGCCACAACGGCAAGGACGCGGATTCTGGTTTGCCCAGGGAAGTACTCTTTTTGTGTTTTGTCTTTTTTTTCTTTTGGCGAGGAGGAGGGGGAGGAGAGGGGGGGGGAGGGAGAGGAGGGGGAAGCTAACGTAGCATAACCACTGTGATCTAGGTCCACTAGCACGGGGCAGGGCCTGTCAAATGTTTTCCATGTGTACAAAAACAAAGGCTGGGGCTGCGGTCGTCTTGGCGCGTCTAGGTTCCCCAAGAGCAACGCCAAACGTTCCCGCCCCCCCTCCGCTAGAAAGCAATCGGGCGTCCCTGGTGTTTGGCGTTCCTGGTCCAATTGTGTCCGTGGCGGTCCTGCTAAAGCGTCGGCCCTCAGAGAGGGAACCGCGCTGTCAGGGCTGCCACGGGCGCAAGGGCGACTGGGGGCGCCTCGCCAAGGTTCGTTCGCCAAGTAGTGTTAAATTGTCACGGAGTCATTGTGTTATTGTTCGCTTCGCAGTCGTCTCTGCTCCTGTGTCCTGAAATCACTTGTCCTTCGAATGCAGCTTAGGCACCGTTCAGATGTCGATTTGTTCACGTTGATGTGTTTCAAGGATATGTTGTAAGAACCTGGTGAGGGGAATAACGCTTAATATCATGACGTCCCGTGTTCGAGTGGCAATTTGTTTGTGATCGTTTTGGCATTGTGGCTCAAAGCGGCCTTCGAGTTGCGACTCCAATGATGTTTCGGTGATCCCGATTCCAGCGATTTCCATATCTTCGCGCTGCGGCGCTTTCCATGTACACCAGTGGATGATCATGTTCAATGTGTTTCTCCACTTTGCGACGCTGATTCCGCTCAGTGCCGCGCTCCGTCTTCCATGTGAGACATTCTATTCCCCGTGCTGTGCAACCTCCTTGATGAGAAAGTCTTGGGGCCACAAGCCGGATGGCGCTCACTGCGAGAGTGACGCTCGGAGGCGATCTTGGGGCACGGCCGTTTCATCCTGGCAACATCGCAGGACTACGTGGGCTTCCTCGGAGCTGGCCAAAGCTCGACGGTCTTGGTCTAGTCACGCGTCTCTCGGCGATGCTGATGGTGACGGCCCCGATCCCGACGAGGTCACGGCTTCTCTCGGCGATGTTGATGGTGACGGCCTCGATCCTCATGGCCTAATCGATTATGGTGGCGGCCTGTTTGGGCTCCCGACGCCAGAACCAGAAGACGCAGATCTGGATCGCGATGGCGACGTCCGTGCAGGTGCCGATAGTGTTGCTCACGGTATTGTTGCTCACGATGGTGTTGGTAGTTCTAGCGTTGCTCACGATGATGTTGCAGTCGCCATTGCAGGACCAATTTGCAATTTGACTCATCAGATCAGTGTTGGTTTGGCTGCGATTCGTAATCCTAAGAAGCTTGTCAGTGACATTGTTGATCATGGCAATGACATATTATATGGTGAACAGTTTCTCATGAGCTCAGTTGCGCTCGCGAGTAGGATGGGCGTGTACAAGCAGCTGCCGTCTGTTCGACGTATCCAACTGGCAGCCGCTGGTCTCGCTTTGCAGGCATATATGCACAAATCCCTTCTCGAACATATGATAAGAACTGTGACTCGAGATGGAGGTCAGCCCGTTATTCTTGTGAAGCAGGTTCGTTACGACGAGACCCCGATGAGAATCAATGTGAAGGATTCGAACACGTCATCAAAGTCTGGGGCACTTGTAGATGCTGCTGCGACTTCCACCGACATCCCCAAGTTCTTGGCAGATTTCTTGAAGATGGAGTCGTACGATGCGGTGCCTGCGAAATTGCTTCAATCCGAGTGGCGAGTCTCAGCGTTATTCCGCATGCATTCTGGTGAGTATGTGTTGGTGAGTTTCGATGTTTTCACCCCAGTGCAGGCCTTGGCGTCGACGTCGGCAGAAGCTTATGTGGAGGCACTTTCTCGAACTGAGCCTGACTTGGGACCGTGCGAAAAATTATATCATTGCCTTCGGCCGAGTCCGCTACCGTGCCAGCGCGGAAGGGTCGTGATTTCGGGTGTTCTCTGGCATGTCCCCTGAGTTCTCTGGGGGTGCTCCTGAAGCTAGGGCTGATGTCTCCTGGTACTGTTTGGGGGTATCTTGGATTCTTCTAGGGTCAGCCTGATGGTTGCTGAGGGCGTTTGGGAGCTCCCTGGGAATGTCGCGGGGCCTCTTCAGGTTTCTCAGCGCTGGGGGCGTGTTAGGGTGGGGACTCTGGGAGCGGGTGGTTTCGCGCGCTCCTTTCTTGGGCCAAACGCTGTCTCAAGGTTGG